AATAAAAGGATACGAGAGCTCTCAGGAGCTAATCCACGCGCGATCCAAGCTCAGGTAGTTGACCCTCCGTCAACTTTCACAGTTGTCCATGTAGAACTCCACTTACTACCTCCAGCCACCATGACACCCTCTTGGATCCATAACCAAACAAGCATGTAGGTGGTATCACTTAACAAGTATACCTAACAAGACCCCTTATTTGGATCACGCTATAACACTTCCCAAGGTTCACCAAGTTTTTCGACCAAACTCTTGCTGACTCGAGTTACAAGGCTAACCAATGGGTTGGGGCGTCCCCCCCAATTCACTTTTAGGTCGATGAGACGAAGCTCCAATCGACAAGATTTGGTCATAGCATTGAGACGGGATGAGCGGTACCTCCTACCCTAAAAGGGCATGATACATTCTGCCGCTTGAAGAGGTGACTTTTGACCTGCAGAAGTGAGTCACCCGAGCTGGAAGAGTACCTGTGCCTTGGGTAGCTCACCTGAACGAGGTCACCTGCTTGGATAAGAAAAGGGGCTGGATCCCCCGATATAACTCCGAAACTTAAGTCAGTTCGGATTGTAGAGATGTGAGTAAGTAGTGATTATAGACAGAATTCTACCGGAATTTGGTCATCCCCTTTTATTGGTAGATACGTTGGGTATTTATAGGGGATGGATAGGAGAGAGGGAACGCCTGCACGGGTCCCTAAAGATCGGGAGTAATTAGTGCATCCGGTGGACTTGACCGGTCTTTATGAGAGGACGTGATGGGACACTCTATCAGGTTCAGGCGGCGTGTCAGAGCAGCCTTCTCCCAGGTGTCAGAGTTCACATCTCCCCTTTTCGCAGATGTCATTTAATGCTCACCTCGGTGTTACGACCCCACGACGTAGCCGAGGTGGTAAACAGTCTGCCATCGCCACGCGGAACGATGTAGCCGAGGTGACACTTCAGGAAAGGCACGAGGACTAGGCCTCGGGCGATCTGAGCCTAAATGGCCCTCCTCACAGCCCCCCAAGCTTTGGGAAGGGCGAGATGGGAATTTGCAGAGGTCGTTACTTCCCGAAGCTGAGAAACGTATGAGACACGGACTTATGGACACGTCATGACCGCATGGATGTGATTGAGTGGAAGCTGAAGGGACGGCTGCCAGCGGTGCAGGCAGATGAACAGTCTTCTCATTAATGAGGAGAGAGGGTGCCGCCCTTTGGATTTCACTCTGGTGGCCTATAAATAGGGGTCTCTTTTTACCGTTTTACTCTTCACCAGAAATCGAGAATCACCCCGGAGCTCTGTTTCTTTCTATTTTCACTTCGGCAACCTTTCTAAACCACATCCACTTCGGCAACTTCAGACAGCCGCAGATTCTGAGTAAGTTCACTTCTTCCCCCTTTGATACAATGGCTAGAACAGCTCGCACGCACAAAGAGACGGTGAGGCCTGACTATGTCGAGACAAAGAGGCCCGACCCCTCCGAAGAGAGGACAGCGACCGAGGTCGGAGAAGGAGGTTCCGAGGCGTGTCACCGAGCCGAGGGCTCACACCAGGCGGAAACGTCTCATCAGGCCAGAACTCCAGAGCAACCCGAAGACGTCGAGGTCGGATCTGAGGTCTTGTACAATGACGAGCTCGGGAATGAGGTCCCGAGGGACGAGGGTGTTCAAGAGCCTTCTACTCCGCCGAACATAGCGACGCTCAACTACGGCCAGATGCCGAGCTTCAGCAGTAGCATGGGGCACACCTCCGTAGCCGAGGTGATCCGCAGGTATCCCTGGAGGAGGGACTACAGTATTTACATTCCTCTGCCGCACCAGTCAGCCGCCCTGCCACCAAATAATAGGGTGGCTATCTATGTAGATCAACTGGAGGCCGGGCTCAGAGTGCCAACCACGAGATTTCTTCGTGACTACCTCAGGTATTGGGGGGTGAGAATCACCCAACTCACCCCTAACACAATTCGCGTTCTGGTCGGCTTCCAGTTACTATGCCGGCATCAGGAGATAGAGCCCACGGTCAACCTCTTCCGCCGATGTTACTCGCTTAAGAACAGCGGGAGTGAGAAGGGCTGGTTCTACTTCGGCAACAAGGTTCCAAAGCTGGTGTATGATGCTCTGAGCTCAATAAAGGAGTAGAAGAGAAACTTTTCTTCGTCCCGGCCGAGGACTTTCCTCGGGGGTTCTGGTGGAGGCCGCCCACCTCGGTGAAGGAGGTATCCCCGGACAAGTTGGAAGAACGCAACTTCCAGAAGCTAATGGGGTCGGGCCTTAGGATCAACTGCTGGGATTTTCCCGAAGTGATCCTAGTAGAAGGCGGGCTCAGTCGAGCCTTGATCAGCTCGGACCATCCCATCCTCCTCTCTTCTAGACTTCACATACCTTGTACTTTTCCACTTCCCTTTTTTAGTTTATCCTTCTTGAATTCTAACTAACTCTTCTTCATGCTATGCAGTGACGAAAATCTCTGACCTGATCACCTCGGGAAACGTCGAGGTGGCAAAGAGACCACCCAAGAAGCGCAAGGACGCCGCCGAGCCTTCCACCAGGGCTGCTAAGAAGACTACCGCGGCAACGAGTGATCATGAGCCTACCGTGGTGATCGTGGGCGAGGGCTCACACACCTCGGCCACTCCCGGGGGCTACCGCGCCTCGGCCATTCCTATCGGGGTTCCCATCAGAGGGGTCACTATAGCCACTCCACCCCGGGGTCAGGGCGTGACGGTGTTTCCGGATAACCCCGTCACGGGGTCCTCTTTGTTCAACCTTCACCATGTGCCTTCCAAAGCAGCTAAGGAAGACAAGAGGCACCTCGGATCACATTGGTGTCCGGACTGGGAGATTAACGTCAACAACCGGTGCAAGAACCCTCTGGTCGCTCAGGAACTCCTGGTACATTCGGTGCTGCCCCGCGATAGCACTTATGCCAGGAAGCTCTCTGCAGGGGAGCTGATGCAAAGCGCCTCGGTGTCCTGGGCCTCCACCTCGGCCTTTTTTGCCGAAATGATTCAACGGTATGGGAAGCTTATGGAAAACTATGAGCCTCCTGCCGAGCTCCAGAAGAGGATTGCGGAACTGGAAGAAAAGCTAAGGGCAACCGAGTTGGAGCGCGACCAGGCCAAGGCGGCTAATAAAAGGGCCGAGATCGCGAATAATTCCCTGGTGACTGCTCTTGACGAGGAGAAAAAGAGAAGGGTTCAGGAAGAACAGTCAAACAAGGAGGCCATGGACAAAGCCAAGGTCACTGCTGTGGAAGCCTTCCGGACGTCGGAGTCCTTCATCCGTGACCTTGCCGAGGTCACCCGGCCGAGCTTCATGTTCGGGTACACGTCGGCCATTAATGACGCGACACCCTTTCTTTCCTCTGAAGAATTGGAGTCCCTTCAGGGCACTTCGGACTATAACGAGGATGCCAAAGAGCTATGCGACCGCATGGCTGAAGGCATCCGGACTGGGAAAGACCTAGCCGAAGTTCGAGCCGAGTTCAACAAATGGCTCCAGGAGTTTGAGCTAGATGGTACTAAAGATGATCAGGCCGGCGGAGGCTCTGAGGGCGGGCACGACCAGGCCGGCGGAGGAGCTGAGGGTGGACAAGATGTCGAAATGGGAGATGCGACCACGGGGGGTCAGGATGCCGGGGTAGGAGGTGCTTAGAGGCACTCATCTTTTGTAATAGTATGCCGGGGTCATTTATGACCTCGGCCTTTTACTTTTTATTCTTCAATGAAATCAACTTTTTGTTCTCCCACATTTTCTGCCTTCTCTTTGATCGAACTGAATCTAATCTTTTCCTTTGCATTCCTTTGCATACTACTTGTACTACTTTGGTACTACTTGTACTACTTTGTCCCCTTATTTTTCACTTGCGATAAAATAAGAGTAAGTGAGAAATAACTTGAAGAGCTAAAATTTTTTGAACACGTACCCCTCAAGGGTAATATAACTTGAGGTTCTCAGCATGCCAAGTCCGAGGCACTCGAGAACCGTCTCGATAAGCTAACTTACAATATCCATTTTGGCTGGACTCAACAACACGATAAGGTCCCTCCCACTTGGGGGTCAGTTTGCCCTGAGGTTCAGCTCGGCTGACCGAGTTCTTCCGAAGCACGAGATCTTCCGGATTGAACCGCAAATGTTTGACCCGAGCATTGTAGTAACCAGTTAGGATATTTTTATAAATAGCAACTTTGGCCGCAGCCATATCGCGCTTTTCCTCGGCGAGGTCGAGGTCAACTCGCCGTTCTTCTTCATTGACTTCGGCGGCGTACGCAGCCATTCGTGGACTTGGGGTGATAAACTCGGCAGGGATAACAGCTTCGGACCCATAGGTTAGAGAAAACGGGGTCTCCTGAGTTGCTGACCTCGGGGTGGTTTGATAGGACCACAGCACACTGGGGAGTTCTTCCATCCACGACGATCCAACCATGAGGAGCCTGGTTTTGAGGCCGTAGAGGAGAGTTCGGTTGAAATTTTCAACTTGTCCATTTGCTTGAGGGTGTCTAACCGAGGTGAAGTGCTGCTTGATTCCCAGGTTCTCGCACCATGCTTTGAAGGGGTTATCAGCGAACTGCCTGCCATTATCCGAGATGACCACCCGGGGCAGGCCGAAGCGACAGACCACGTTTTTCCAAAAGAGTTTTTGAACGACAGTTCCAGTGATGCTTCTCAGGGGCTCGGCCTCCACCCATTTGGTGAAATAGTTTACTGCTACCACCACGTAAGCATAGTTGCCTGGAGCCCTGGGGAATGGACCGATTATATCAGTTCCCCATTGCTCGAATGGCCACGGCGAGATGATGGGTATCATGAGGTTGGTCGGCTGGTAGTGCTCAGGAGCGTGGTGCTGGCAGGAAGGGCAACAAAGTACCATGACCTGGGCATCTATCCTCATGGTGGGCCAGAAGTACCCGAGCAGCAAGGCTTTCTTCACAAGCATCCTGAAGCCGACGTGGGCACCACAGAGTCCCTCATGAATGTCCTGAAGGATTCTCTCGCCTTCCTCCGGGGTGATACATCGCAGTCAGGGGTCGAGGTAAGACCTCTTGTAGAGAAAGCCTTGTCGGAGGGTGTACCGAACTGCTTTTCGCTGAAGCTTCCGTGCTTCAGCTCGGTCCTCAGGGAGCTCTCCATGGCTGAGAAATCGGGTTAAGGGCCCCATCCAGATGTCCTCGGAATAGATGGGGTACACGACCTCTCCTTCATACCCCGATTCGGTTAGAACTTCTACGAGAACCGTCTTGTTTAGGTCGGCAAAAGAAGTAGACGCGAGCCGGGAGAGGGCGTCAGCCCTCCGGTTCTGTGACCGTGGTATCCTTTGGATTTTGAAGGACTCGAAGTGTGCTATTAGCTGGTGGACCTTAGAGAGATAGCGATGCATCACTTCGTCTCTGGCCTCGTATTCGCCTAATATTTGGCACACGATGAGTTGGGAGTCGCTATACACCAAAATGTGTGAAGCCCCGAGCTTGCGAGCTAACTGCAGGCCAGCTATGACAGCCTCGTATTCGGCTTCATTGTTGGAGGCAGCGAAGTCAAACCTCAGGGCGTACGAGCACACATCTCCTTGAGAGTCTTCGAGGAGCAAGCCTGCTTCACTACCCTCACTGTTAGACGACCCATCTACGTGTAGAATCCATCGCTGGAACCCAGTGAGGGCTACTTCAGCTGTCACCGGGGTGGCAGTTGGGATGGGTGCTTTCACTTCATCAAAGGTAAGTTCGGCTAGAAAGTCCGCGAGAGCTTGGGCCTTGATCGCTGTGCGAGGTTCATAAGAGAGGTCATACTCCCCCAGCTCAATGGCCCATTTGGTAAGACGTCCCGAAGCCTCAGGTCGTGTCAAGATCTGCCGGAGGGGTTGGTCAGTCCTCAAACAGATGCGGTGAGCTAGAAAATAGGGCTTGAGTCTGCGGGCTGCGTGGATCAGGGCCAGCACAAGCTTCTCCGCTTGCGTGTACCTCGTCTCGGGACCTCGGAGGACCCGACTAACATAGTAGACGGGCATTTGAACTCTTTCCTCCCCTATCAGCACGGCGCTCACGGCTTCGGTCGCAGCAGACAGGTATAAGATCAATTTGTCCCCTGGACGTGGTGAGGTGAGCCTGGGCAAGTGGTGAAGGTAATCCTTCAGCTGCTCAAACGCCTGTTGACATTCTTCCGTCCAGGAGAAGTGGTCAGCTTTCTTCAAGACTTTGAAAAAGGGCAGTGCCTTAGCGGCTGACTGTGATAAGAACCGATTCAGGGCGGCTAATCGCCCCGTCAGCCTCTGAACATAGCGGACGCAACGAGGTGGAGACATCTCCTGGATGGCTCTCACCTTATCCGGATTCGCTTCTATACCTCGTCTTGACACGAGCTAACCTAAAAATTTTCCCGAGGTGACCCCAAAGACACATTTCTTGGGGTTCAGCATCACCCGCGTCTTCCGGAGAATATTAAGAACTTCTTTCAGGTCGGCCAGAAAAGCGAAGGTCGTCTGGCTTTTGAGGAGGATGTCATCTACATAGGCCTCAACGTTCCGGCCGATCTGAGACTTGAAGGCTTGGTTGACCAAGCGTTGGTAAGTGGCTCCGGCATTCTTCAGCCCGAAGGGCATGGTAGTATAGCAGTACGTGCCGCGGTCAGTGTAGAAGGCTGTCTTCTCCTGGTCTTCTTGGCTCATGCCAATTTGGTGATAACCCTTGAAGGCATCCAGGAAACAGAGGATCTCGTATCCCATTGCCGAGTCTACCAAGGTATCGACCTTGGGCAATGGGTAACAGTCCTTGGGGCAGGCCTTGTTGAGGTCGGTGAAGTGGACGCACATTCTTCAAAACCCCGTATCCTTCTTGACCATGACCGGGTTGGACACCCAGGCTGGGTACTGGACTTCCCGGATTATTTTTGCGGGCAAGAGCTTGTCAACTTCTTCGCCGACAGCTCGGCTACGCTCAGGGCCGAGGTGCCTTCTCTTTTGTTTGATCGGTCGGGCTTGGGGGTCGACGTTCAGCTCATGCATCATGAGGTGGTGCGGGACTCCTTGGACCTTTTCGGCGGCCCAAGCAAAGACGTCCCGGTATTCTCTGAGGAGGACCACCATACCTCTTTGGACAGGACCGGGCAGTCGGGTACCGACGCGAACTGTCTGATCGGGTTTCGTGGGGTCTAGGGGAAGCTCTTCCACCTCATCCCCAGTCTCCAGCCTCGGGACCTTCTCAGCTCGCTGAGGGTCGATGCTATCTATTGAGAGGATGTCTGACCTCTTCTCGGACCTCGTTACGGAGGTTGATGGGGATGCTGCTTGTAGAGTGGCTAGGTAGCACTCTCGAGCAGCGCAGACGTCGCTGCTGACCTCGGCAACTCCTGCGGGAGTAGGAAACTTAAAACTAAGGTGGTAGGTCGAGTACACCGCCCGCAGAGCATTAAGAGTAGGCCGACCTAAGAGCAAGTTGTATGGAGAGTCGGCCTTAACCACCACGAAGTTGACTGGAACAGTTCGGCAGCGGGGATGGTGCCCCACAGTCACCGTCTGCGTCACCATTCTCTCGGGGTGCACAACGTGTCCCCCGAACCCTACAAGAGGGGTTCTTACCGGGGTCATGTGCTCCCTGGCCAACTTAAGGCTCTCAAAGGTGCGGAGGTACATGACGTCCACTGAACTTCCAGGATCTATATAGACCTTTTTCACAATGTAGTTGTTGGTGAGGACTCCAATCACCAAAGTTTCATGACTGCTGGAGGCAGTTGGGACGGGGTCACTGGGTCCGTAGGTGATCACCTCGGACAGGCGAGAACTCGACTCGGCTTGATCCGGATTGGCTTGCCTATAAGTTCTCTTCCGGGAGTTCTGACTGTCCCCTCCCGTCGGACCTCCAGCAATTGTATTGATGACTCCGGCAATGTTCGGCCCATAACCCAACCCGTGTCCTGAAGATCCGTCTGGGGGAGGCCTTTTCGTCTCCCTGTGATTCTCAGGAGGTCGGCAACTGCTTCTGGAGGTCCGCCTCTCATCTCGGCGTTGGTCACCTCGTTTGTCACGCCGGTTCTCGTCACGTTGTTGGCCTCCACCTCGGCGGATGAACTGTTTCAAATGCCCCCGTCTAATGAGGTTCTCGATCTCCTTCTTGAGGTCGTTGCAGTCCTCAGTTTTGTGACCGATGTCACGATGATACAAGCAGTAGAGGTTTGAGTTCCTCTTGTCTCTGCTTCCAAACATCCTCGGTGGGGCCTTCCCAAGGTTGTTTTGTTCCATCACGGATAGCACGTGGGATCGGGTAGTGTTCAGAGGAGTTAACTCGGACTCGGGGATTGGTGTCTTCCCCTTGGATATCCTGTCGAACACGCTGCGGCGGTCTCGACCAGGACTTCGGAAGCCACTTCCCGACCCTACTTCAGTTCGGCTGGCGTCTTTTCCCTTTCTGGGATCAGTCCTTGGACGGGTGGCTTGGAACTCTTTCTTCATGCGGTGGAGGTCTTCAGCCTGTATGTCCTTTTCGACCTTCAACCACAATTCATGCAATGTGCGGGGGTACTTCTTATGAATCCCCGTATTGAACTCCCCGGCAGTGAGTCCATGGGTAAAGGCGGCGAGGGTTACCTGCTCATTGGGGTCAGGTATCTGTACGCTTTCCTCGTGGAACCTCCGGACATACGACCGAAGTGACTCTCCCGGATTCTGCTGCACAGTGAGCAGATAAGCCGAGGTCCTGGTCGTAGGTCGGGAGGAGACGAACCGGTGGAGAAACTTCTCCACTAATTCACCCAAAGTCGAGATACTCTTAGGTTCTAGAGCCAGAACCATTTTCGAGCAGTTTCTCGGAGGAATACTGGAAAGACCCGGCATATGACGGGGTCCGGAATGCAATATAGGCGGAAAGGCCGAGATGAAGACATGGATGTGATCTTCGGGATCACCGCGGCCATCATAAGATTGTACTGCGGGGAGTTTAAAATTGAGAGGAAGCCTTTCCTCATTTATATCATCTGTGAAAGGTGGAGCTCTCATGCAGTCCACCCCGGGTATTCCCAAGGGCCGAGCTTCTTCCTCGGATCGTCTCCCCAAGAGCCCTTGAGAAAATGCCTTGGTCAGGGAGGCTACCTTGGAGGTGGCCTTAGAAAGTGCTCGTTTCGAGGCACTTCGGCTTAAGCGCCTTCCATCCGACTCCTCAGATGAGTCTTCAGGAGACCCATCCGACTTCCTTTTGGAGAACTCGGCTTTTTGTTTGCCTTGCCTTTTCAGGTACCTCCCCAACTCTTCAAAGATGTTGGGGTTCTCGGTCACAAACTCGGCCATACGGGTTATGGCTTCTTCGTTTGCGGGCTGAGTCCTTGGGGACCCCTGCCCTTCAGGGATATCTTCTGGCTGGGCTGCATTGCTTTGCTCAGCCCCAACGGTGAGAGCTTTTCTGCTCTTAGAACGCGTAGGCTTCATTTTTCAATACCTTTGCGTTCCCACAGACGACGCCAATTGAAGAGGTGACTTTCGACTTGCAGAAGTGAGTCACCCGAGCTGGAAGAGTACCTGTGCCTTGGGTAGCTCACCTGAACGAGGTCACCTGCTTGGATAAGAAAAGGGGCTGGATCCCCCGATATAACTCCGAAACTTAAGTCAGTTCGGATTGTAGAGATGTGAGTAAGTAGTGAGTATAGACAGAATTCTACCGGAATTTGGTCATCCCCTTTGATTGGTAGATACGTTGGGTATTTATAGGGGATGGATAGGAGAGAGGGAACGCCTGCACGGGTCCCTAAAGATCGGGAGTAATTAGTGCATCCGGTGGACTTGACCGGTCTTTATGAGAGGACGTGATGGGACACTCTGTCAGGTTCAGGCGGCGTGTCAGAGCAGCCTTCTCCCAGGTGTCAGAGTTCACATCTCCCCTTTTCGCAGATGTCATTTAATGCTCACCTCGGTGTTACGACCCCACGTCGTAGCCGAGGTGGTAAACAGTCTGCCATCGCCACGCGGAACGATGTAGCCGAGGTGACACTTCAGGAAGGGCACGAGGACTAGGCCTCGGGCGATCTGAGCCTAAATGGCCCTCCTCACCGCTCAATGCTCACAAAAAAAACACTTTCATATGCATTCACATGTAACATGTATCACTTATCAAGCAAGCAATTTCATGAAAGAGAAGACAAGGGCGATAAAGTACGCCCTACCCTCATTAACTAGCAAGTACAAGAATCATTTCATTTAAACACTTCACATGCACTTGATACTCATCAAGTATCAAAAGTCAAAGTTTGAGAAATTAGCTCTAAAATGATTCACAGGGAGTTCCCTCGAAGTCCTCTTGAGATCCTGAAAGTATGCAATAATGCATTGTATCTCAATTTCCAGGCCATACAGTATTCGTGTAAAGAAAAGAAATAGTTAATTTTGATTCCAAAATTCAAGTTTCCAAAGTATTTCAGTTCATAAGGAACCGACTTTCAAATGAGGTCTCAAGTGATAGGTGAACTCAAGTTCACCATGAAAATAGGTTTGAAATGCTCTAAGAGTTGTAAAAATGTAACCTAGGCCCTTAAAAGAACACTTAGGTTCAAATTGAAAATTTTCACTTTTCGAGTCATTCTTGGAAGTATCAGTCCAGAAGTTCGGAAAATCTAAAAATGGAAAATTTTACACCATCAAAAACTTCATTAGAAGCATAACAACTTTGTAGAAGGTCACTTTCCAAGAATCAAATCAGAATCAAGTCAATTTCTCCAAGAAAGTTTACTATTCATTGAAGATAGGTCAAAACAGTCCAAGTTTTTCCAATAACTTTGGAATGTTTGCCAAAATCATAGAATCAAAACCAGCCTTTCAAATTTGATATGCATGTAAATTTCCAATCCAGGTTTCAAATAAAATAAACAAAACTCAATTCCGATGTTCCTATCTCAAGAAATAAAAAGTTGAAGTTCGCTAAAATTCCTGGACTGTTGGCCTATTTTCCAAATTTAATGCCCTTCGCTAATTAGGCCGTATCTCACTCGATTCTCAGTGAAATTGAAAATGGTTGGTGGCTTTAGAAACTAGATTTACAAGGCTATATTTGTGTAGAAGAAGTCATTTCCAAAATCCAGATATAAGCGGTTCAAAATCAAGGAACAAAATGGATTTTCTGGCAGTCTCGGATGAACAGTAATAAACAGACAGCCAACTTTCAAAACTCGCCACGAATCGCTCGGGACGAACTAGAAAATGAGCTTGGTACCATTTTAAAGCTCTAGGAGTCTACGTTCAAATGCCACAAATGGCACTCAATTTCGATCAACGAACAAAACGTTATAGCTACACAAATGTTGCTGGTCAGAAAATTCTGGAGCCTG